AAAAGGTGACACAGACAGGGGAAAGAAGAGGTGACAGAACACACGACAGGCCCCAGTCCTGGCCCCAGTCCTGGAGGTGACAGCTGGTGGGAGGTGGGCGTGGCTGGGCCATGTCCTTCCTCCGCAGACTCCGCCCCGGCTCCCCCGGAGCCTCTCTGGGCCCTGCTTCCTGCTGGAAGCAACGTGCACGTGGTGACTGAGAGGCAAGCACACGGTGAGTGACAGTCACGGGGACATATTCCCGAGGAGGGTCCTGGAGATGCCAAGACCTGCTCAGGGCTGCGTCCTGCCTCCGGTGGAGTCCGATGGAGGGGACGCTGGGGGCCAGACGGGCTCAGCAGGCGCCTTATCCAGGAGCCCTCGTTGCCTCTCCACTGACGCCCACGAGGGTGTGAACACCCTGGGTGCTGGGCCTCCTTTCTAGGAGCAGGGCTGGGTCGTGCAGTCAGGGCCTGGCTCTTAGGTGGACAGTGTAGCCGAGCGCTGAGGGTGAGTCGAGGGGCACACTAACGTGTGGCACCCACACGTAGAAGGAGACTGGGAACCCAGAGTGGGCTGAACAAAGTCTCGAGTCCCCATGCACTGGGCTGAGACGGGACAAGGCGACAGGGGCCTGGCTGGAGACCCCAGCAAAGCAAGGGTGGCAGGAGCCAGCTTTTTACCAGGCCCCAAGGCATGGCCTGTAGGTGAGGAGGGAGCTGTTCCCGGTGCTGAACCCAGGTGAGCCCAGGTGAGGAGGTAGGGGCAAGGACCCTGAGCCACTCCCACCTTTGTGTCTCCCACTGGCAGCAGCATTGGGAAACGCTGCGATGCATGTTGGGGACAAGAAGTCCTTGCAGAAAAATACACTTGCCACAGGGCCATTGACATGCTCCTTAAAAAAAAAAGGAAAACAAAAAAGAAAGAGAAAACGTCTAATTATTAGAGAAGACTTCAGCTCCATCCTGGGGTCTCTGCAGATTCCTCCTGTCCCGGGATCAGCCGTCCCCAGCAGGTGCTTGTGAGGGCAGCAAGTGGCCATGAGCTGCCACCAGCGAGCACTTGCTCTGTGTGGTCTTAAAACATGGCAAGTCCTCTGAGCTGTCACTGGGTGTGGTGCCTCACAGATTTCTTTATTTTGATGAAGGATAGAAGAATTCTCAGGGAGGGATTTCCATTTCTTTGCTGTGTCTCTATGACAGGTGCTCCTGAGGAAAGTCAGTCTATCTACATTAAAAAGAAGCCCTTGCCCCAGTCCAGCCACGGACGCTGACCCTCCCCTTTGCGCACCCACCACGGTGGGGAAATTTCTCTCCTTGTTTTGCTAAGCAAGACCCCTTCTCTGCACAGTGATGAGTGTTCTTGTTTCCTATGCATATTTAGGAGTAAAAACAAGGTTTCATGTACCTCCCTCCCCAGATTAATATTTACCTAATTGCATTATGGCATAGATCAGAGTAGAAAGCAAATTCCAGCTTCCTTCTGACTGTCCAATAGTTTCCAATCGATCATGTGGCAGAAAAATGATTGCAAAAGCCCAGGTCAAGAAAAGGGCTGGGGACATAGCTCAGCTGTGGACTGCTTGCCTAGCATCTGTGGGGCCCTAAGTTGGAGCCCTAGCACTGCAGGGGAAAAAAAAAAAAAACTCTGAGTCTCTAGGGTGTGTGGTGCAGTGAGCCCTCATCAGGAGGGGCCTGACAGGCCATCTGTGTGGTCCCAGCCCTAGGCACCTTGGGTTATCTTTGTCGGTGGGAAAGCTTTTAGCCATCCTTCTGATCCAGTTCAGACCATGTTTCCTATGCCTTCCTTTCCTTATCTCCCTGACAGTCCGGGTCTCCCTTCCTGTGGCCTGACAGCTCCTGATCATATCTCTGAAAGCACTTGTCACGAGATTGGCTGCTTGCTTCCTGGCCTCCATGAGCAAAAGTGCTCTCATCTGTCCAGATGTTCCCAGGTCCTGCTATAAAGGGTTAATCTGGAACAGCTGAGTGTTAGCAGAAGGCACAGTTTGGGCCCCACTTTACTGCCAGGTTGTGTAAGTGAATTTTAGAAAGTTTAAAACCATGTCTTGAGCTAATGTCAGGTGCATGCATTCAGCAGTAATGAATTCATCCTAAACCAGGTATTCTTCACTTTTATACAAAAGTCTTTTAATTGGGCCATTAGAAATTCTTAGCTAAATTATTTCTTCATGTTGCCGTCAAAGTCCTGGTTAAACACTGGTTAATCAGAGAACTTACTAATAGATAATTTTACTGCCATCAAGACAAGTCCAGCCAAGGCAGCTATTGTTATGGTGCCACCATTTCAGGTGAGTCCCTGGTCCCCTAGGAGAGGGTGGAGATCTAGACAACAAGCTTCTCCATCAAAGCCAAATGAGGGCTGTGCCTGGCTCAGGAGCCGCCAGGGCAATAATACTCTGCTGCGGCCAAAAGGACAGGAACTCCCAGCAGCCATCATGCCCTGCTGTGCTTCAGCACCCACCTGGGCCAGAGCGAGTAGTCCCTCAAGAGGGGACAGGTCCTTGGCATTTGTGCAGACATCAGTGAGGTGTCCTGCCCCACGTCTCTGGGGACTAGAATGTGTGGGACATCTGCAGCATCTGGGGAGTCCAGAACTTCCTGCTCACATCAAACCTTAAAAACTAACCAAAAATCAATCACAAGTGGGCGTTAATCCCAAGCCAAACATTTTTACGGGAAGTTTAGGTAGAAAGGTGTTTGCTTGATCAACCAAGCTTGAAGTCCCCTGGCCAGTTTTTATGTCCTTCTCCTTTGGCATGATGCAGCTGTGCCAAAGGGCAAAGCGTCTAAATATCTTGGTTTCAGATTGGGGACACAGCTTTTGGTTTATTCTCTTAGTGGATGGTTTAAATAATATAATATTTTATTAGTAATTGAGGATTTGTGAGTCCTTTCACTGATGATGTGGATGAAGTTCAATTTTTTTTAAAAAAAACAGTTTTTGATCACGGCCTTTCATTTGGCCTTCCTAGATTTTTATTTGTGTGTTTCTTTTGGGAGGGAAGAGTGTAAGGGAAGAGATCAAACAAAAATTACTGCATCAATATTACTGTCTTTGAGTAACAGAACACGTGGGTTCTCGAGGGTACAGCATGTGGAAATTAAACTTGGGTTTTGGTTAGATCAACTGCTTGTTCGCCTCCTAGGTGACTTGGTCAATAAAAGTAGCTGAGACAGTGAATGGCTCTTCGAGCGAGTTTGCATCCCTGTATCTTACAGAATCTCTAGAACATAACAGAAGCATGGCTTACTCAGTAATGCAGCAGGAAGATAGAAGGGAAGAATGAAGGAGAAGAGAACGAGGTGGTTTTGTTGATTATAGCTTTTTATCCCCAGTGGAAAATGGGTCTGCCCCCACTGGGCCCCTTGTTCGGGTGTATTCATGCAGTCTTCTGTTCTGGAAGCAGTGGCCTCCCTCTGCCAAATCTCTGTGGCCGCAGAGTCCTTGGGAACACGCTGAAGCTTCCCAGTTCCTGTTTGTGATACCATGGAGCTGGCTCCAGCAAAGCTCTGAATGGTGTCATTGTGAGAGCTTGCAAGATATTTAAGATGCTAAGAAGGCCGCATTACCAAAGAATGCCTTTAAAGAGAGGAAAATTAAATGACCAATAAAAAAGGAATCTTCACAAGTTCCTATTGTATCTTAGAAAAAGAAGGGCTGATGTATTTAGGTCTGAGTCTTCAAGGTCTTCGGAGGGTGCCAAGCTCTGGCTCCCGCCCTCCCCCTCCGTGGGCCTCCTGGCTGAAATCTAAGCCCAAATTAATGAATCTGCTTCTAAGTTGAGGAAGGAACAAGTAAACCACAGCTGTGAGTCTCAGTCACTGGGGATTTCTGTTTCACACCCAGCCAGGATGGAGTCCTGAAATTATTTGATTTGGGAACAGGATGAAAAAATTGATGATATCTGATTTGTAGATTAGCCCTGGAGGGGGAAATACTAATTTCAAATATCATTCGTTTTCCTCTTTATCAAGTCTCTTCAAGCTGTAATGAAATTAACTGAGGACTGAGTCCAGCTTGTAAACCTCAAAGGAGTTTGTACACTGAACTGGCAAATTAATCTGAGAACAGCCCAACAGTTCAGCGTTTATTTAGTCAATATTCAGTGAATCATCAGGGTTGATTTTTATTTGTCCATTTATTTATTGAAATATTTCCAGTCAAGGATGTATCTTGAGACTTATTTCTCATTTCCAAAATCATGAATTTTCAACATAATTGCAGTTTTTTTTTCCTCTGACGAAAACCCAAACTATTCAAGTAAATGTATTTACAAGTTAAACTTAGCAAATGATTTTGAAGAATTAGAACAAGACTCAAGAGATAAGAAATACTTTCAGTTTAGTGGAGGAGTTTCTCGGGGAGTGCTCCCAAATGTCATGTGATTAACATGATATGAGATACTATACAATAAATAGAAATTTATTATTAATATATTAGCTGTTAAAATTATGCATTAAACAGGATCTCAGAACTGAAGATACCATCCTTTCTGGTTTTCGAATGTGTTGTAATTGGGATGTTATTACTGCACGGTACTCCTTCTTAACTTTCTGGGATTCTGTGTACTATTCATTCATTAATGTATTCCGTCAACCAAGAGGCCATAGAATGCAATATGTTTGGGTAGAATTCTGAACCCGTCTGCTGGGCTTGAATCCTGGATCCATCACTTATCAGGGTGAACTTGACCAAGTCACTTGAACCTTCTGAGCCTGTTTCTCATCTGTTCGATGATGAGGATGATAAATGAGAAGGTCAAGTTCAGGTTTAGATGGCAGCTATAGTAAGCCGACTTCATCAGTGTCTGGAACACAGAATGCCCACATGAGGGGTGGTTGTTATGGCTACTGCTGGTGATGTGGGACACAGGCACCGTGCGTTGCACAAGGCATTAAACGTGGCCAAGACTAAGTCACCACCTTCAAGGAACTCGCCTTGTAGTGAGGGTGTTAGTCAGGTCTCCATCTCTGTAACTAAATACCCGAGAAAATAAACTTACTGGAAGAAAGATTTACTCCGGCCCATGGTGTCAGATGTTTTGGTCCCTGTTGCTTGACTCCATTGCCAGGGTCCTGTGGTGAGGCAGAACATCATGGAGGGAGCTCACGGCAGCAGAGGAGCTGCTCACCTTAAAGCTAGCAGGAAGCAAAAAAGAGAAAGGGGGAACGGGGCCAGAGATCCAGCCTCCTCTTCAAGGGCACATACCTAACCACCTGAGGACCTCCCACTAGACCGTAGCTCCTCAGGGTTCCATAGCCTCCCAGTTTCACCAAACCTTTAGCAGCATGGGTCTTTGGGGGACATTTAAAATCCAAACCACAACAGTGACATAAGCCATTAGAATAGCATAGCATTAAAATTTCACAGTGCGAGTACATAGAAAGCCCCAAAGTTGGAAAACGTTGCCTGAGAAGGTCAGTGAACAGTTTGCAGAGGGAGAAGCCAGCCTCATGTGCACAGAGCCATGATTGCTTCTCCACGAGGAGAAACAGGGCAATTATTCCCCATGTGTTTGATGTGTAGCAAACTTTGGGTCAAGTGAATGAATAAATGAATGGAAAAATGGACAAATGGAATTGCAGTCAGATGTACACTGGCCACAAGCAAAGAGGGGCTTCTGGACTCCTTGGCTGGACCTGGAGAATACCGACACTATGGTAAAGGAGGCATATTTATCTCTGGTCCATCGTAGGCCAGATGTTCATGGACAAAACATTAGACACTCTCCAGCTCAATAGAAATCAGGGGCTCCACGGAGCCTAAGATCAAAGAATTCGTTGCTAGGCCTGAAATCTTGGACTCTTACCTGGGAGGCCGTGCTCTCTCTCACATCCTGGGCTTAAATGACTGCAATTGGAGAAATGAGGTTCAGGAGAACTAAAATATAAAAGGAAAGGAACGAAAGAGCTTTGGTGGATAAAGGACAAGATGTTCCCAGAGACTAAAGAGAAGGACTCCTGAAGGGAGACTCCCAGAGAGAGGCGTCCTCAGGAGACAATTTTCTGAAATGACACTAATCATAGTCACTCGTGTGCCCTGCTCTTATGAGGAACAAGCAGAATGTGTCTCCTGCATTCTGCTCTTGGAAACGTACCTTGGGATGACTTGCATCCTGAGAAGGATAACGAGGTGAAATCTTTGGGTTTTAATTCTAATTAGGGACCCTGGTGCCCCCCATCAATGACAAATCTTCTTGGATGCTCTGTGGTCCAGTTTGAGAAAGCTGTCACCATCTCCAGGGTTGTGAAGTCCCAGGATGGGCCACAGAGGAGAGGGCTCCAGAACACGGCTGCCCCCCCCCGCAGCGGAGCCAGCGCTCCTCAGGCTGCCCTGCAGGCTCTGTCCTGCTTAGATGCTGCAATAGTTTCTGCCAAAGCTTTTAATGAAAGAGAGTCAAGACTGCCCCCTAGAGCAGCTCCTTTCCTCCTCCCTCAGGGGAGTGGGCTCTGGACTTTCCAAGTTCCCAGCTGGTCAAAACTCTCCAAGGGAAGTGCAGGTCTGACGGTGCGCCAATTTCATATTTTACCAACAAGACAAAATAGATAAAACTGTCACCTCGTGCATGACATCATAACACTAAAAAAGGAAAGAAAGCTGACTTTGGCAAAATAGGAGGACGTTTATGACTGTGTTTGGCTCCCCAGGAAGCTCTCTTCCCAGTTATTGTTTTCTCATTTCACCACGAACCTAGGAAAATTTTGGCCAGGATCACTAGTGGTTCCCCGAGCAGTTTCTGTGTCTGATCTCAGGACGGATCTTGCATTTCCTCAGCCTGACAGTCAACCGTGACTCTTCATAGTCAGCAGAAACTATTCCCAACCTAAGGACTTCACAGTCCTCGAACAAATGAGTCTCTCTTCCTTCTTTTTCTAAAAATGCTTCTGTGGCACGCACACTCTTGAGCAGTCTCCTTCCCCCTGAGAGGTCTGCTGGCTGCGGGCCCCTGCTGAGGCAGGACAAGCCTGGAGGTGGGCTGGGCTGCAAGGGCTCCCAGGACCCCCATCTGGAAGTGCTGTGCCCAGCTGGGTCCTGGCGGCTCTGCTTGGTCCTCTGCCTCAGCTCCCGGGTGGACCCTTGGCTCAGAACTCACACCAGCCTGGCCACTGGCTTTGCTCAGCAGGTTTGTGCCATGGGGTTTGCTTGCCATCTGGATGTGGTTTTGGGGCATGGTGTGGGTCACCCACAGATACATCCAGGAGTTGCGCTGTTCCAGGGGCAGCAATGAGCGTGGGAAAGGAAGCCCCTTCTCTGTCTCTTCCACATGTAACGGGGATTTTCCTTAATCCCTGTGATCTACCCAGATGGGGGGCAAAGTTTATTGGTTTGAGGGGTTTTGGAGTTGGGGTAAACTTGCCTTTTTCAATTAATTAATTTTAATTAGGTATATATGACAGTAGAATGCATTTTTATTCATTGTACACAAATTGCAGCACAACTTTTCATTTCTCTGGTTGTCTTTTGACAATGGTTGAGAAGTTGCCTTTGGAGACGGGATTCCTAAATGGCCACATGTCCTTGAAGGTTGGTCTTGACATGCCGGGCTTTGCTTTTGGCCTCAGAATGCTCTTGTTTGTGAGCACTGTATACGGTGACAGTGACTAGAAAGAAAGGCATTCTTGAGAGGTAATTATGGAATGAACGGAGCTTTGATCAGTAATGCTATTTCTGTGCTCTTTAGCTTGAATGATACAATTAGGTGCTCTTTGTTTGGTTTTGAAGAACCTATTCAAGAACATACTTGAAACATAGGAGTAAGTGGATCTATTGAAATGTACTCATCATTCAGCTCTTGATTCTTGGAGGCAGGAATTGTGTCCCACAAACCCCTTAACATATCAACAAACGCCTGCCAGACCTGCATTGTATGAGGCACCCCCCCCCCGACCCCTGGACTCACAAGAGACAGCCTGTGTTAACACGTGAGCACAACTGTGAAGCGCACCAAGTCGGCTGTGACCTCCCCAGGAAGCTTGGCTCGCACGGCCAAGGAGGCAAACATGGCTGGACCCTCTTAGAACGATGGAAGACTTCTACTTCTAGCCTATGTCTGGGTTCATGAAAAGAAAAGGTGTCTCCAGAGCAGGCCCAGGGTCCTGCTGGGGGGCAGAGCCGCCCCCCACCCCCCGCGCCTGCCAGGTAGGTGGAACTGTGACCACCATCAGAACAGGCCAGACCTGCAACCGAGAGACAGAACAGGCCCAGTGGCCTGAGGAAGGGTAGAGCCGCCCCCCCCCCCCGCACCTGCAAGGTAGGCGGACCTGCGACCCACTGGCAGTACAGCCCCAGAGGCCTGCAGAGGGGCAGTGCCGCTGCCTGCACCTGCAAAGTAGACAGAACTGTGACCACCCACAGAACAAGCCTAGCGGCCCGCAGAGGGACAGAGCCGCCGCCCGCGCCTGCGAGGGAGACTTTGCAACTATACAAGACCAATATAAATATATAGGGGGAAAATTCAATAGCACAACAGTTTCACTAAGTAGAAAGGAACGCAAACAGTATGAAGAGACAAGGAAAGAAAGGACCACAAGCAATGCAGGTCAACTCAACGTTAGAAGAGGTAATAGCTGCAGCAGATGGAATGTCAGATAAAGAATTCAGGATATACATGCTTCAGATGATCTGGAGTCTCAAGGAAGACATCAGACAGCAAAATCAGACAATGAAAGATCACTTCAACAATGAATTACATAAACAAATCCAAGAAGCAAAAGATCAACTACACAGGGAAATAGAGGTTATAAAAAACAAACAAACAGAAATCCTAGAAATGCAGGAAGCAATAAGCCAACTTAAAAACTCAATTGAGAATACTACCAGCAGAGTAGAACACTTAGAAGACAGAACATCAGACAATGAAGATAAAGTATTTCAACTTGAAAAGAACATAGACAGCTCAGCAAGACTGTTAAGAAACCATGAGCAGAACATCCAAGAAATATGGGATAACATCAAGAGACCAAATTTAAGAGTCATTGGGATACAGGAAGGGACAGAGTTTCAAACCAAAGGATTGAGCAATCTATTCAATGAAATAATACGAGAAAACTTCCCAGACTTGAAGAATGAGACAGAACCCCAAATCCTAGAAGCCTACAGGACGCCGAATGTGCAAAATCATAAGAGACCCACACCTAGACACATTATAATGAAGATGCCCAACATACAGAATAAGGAGAGAATTTTAAAAGCTACAAGAGAAAGGAAGCAGATCACATTTAGGGGTAAGCCAATCAGGATAACAGCTGATCTTTCAACACAGACTCTGAAAGCTAGAAGATCCTGGAATAACATATTTCAAACACTGAAAGAAAATGGGTTCCAACCAAGAATTGTGTTTCCAGCGAAATTAAGCTTCAGAATGGAAGATGAAATTAAAACCTTCCACGATAAACAAAAGTTAAAAGAATTTGCAGCTAGAAAACCATCTCTTCAAAACATCCTTGGCAAAACATTACAGGAAGAGGAAATGGAAAATAACAATGAAAACCAACAGTGGGAGGTAGGACACTAAAGGGGGGAAAATAATCAAAGAGGAAAACAAACCATGTTTAGTAACAGAAATAAACAAATATGGCTGGAAGAACAACCCATATCTCAATAATAACCCTAAATGTTAATGGCTTAAACTCACCAATCAAGAGACACAGGCTAGTAGAATGGGTCACAAAACAAGACCCAACAATATGCTGCCTACAGGAGACGCATTTGATAGGAAAAGACATACATAGGCTGAAGGTGAAAGGTTGGGAAAAATCATATCACTCATATGGACTTCGGAAACAAGCAGGAGTATCCATACTCATATCAAATAAAATAGATTTCAAGCCAAAGTTAATCAAAAGGGATAAAGAGGGATACTACATACTGCTCAAGGGAACCATACACCAACAAGACATAACAATCATAAATATATATGCCCCAAACAATGGTGCAGCTATGTTCGTCAAACAAACTCTTCTCAAGTTCAAGAGTCTAATAGACCACCATACAATAATCATGGGAGACTTCAACACACCTCTATCACCACTGGACAGATCTTCCAAACAAAAGTTGAATAAGGAAACTATAGAACTCAATAACACAATTAATAACCTAGACTTAATTGACATATATAGAGTATACCACCCAACATCAAGCAGTTACACTTTTTTCTCAGCAGCACATGGATCCTTCTCAAAAATAGATCATATATTAGGTCACAGGGAAACTCTTAGACAATGTAAAGGAGTAGAGATAATACCATGCATCCTATCTGATCATAATGGAATGGAACTGAAAATCAACGATAAAAGAAGGAAGGGAAAAGAATACATCACTTGGAGAATGAACAATAGGTTACTGAATGATCAATGGGTTATAGAAGACATCAAGGAAGAAATTAAAAAATTCTTAGAGATTAATGAAAACACAGACACAACATATCGGAATCTATGGGACACATTGAAAGCAGTTCTAAGAGGAAAATTCATTGCTTGGAGTTCATTCCTTAAAAAAAGGAAAAACCAAGAAATAAATGATCTCATACTTCATCTCAAAATCCTAGAAAAAGAAGAGCAAAACAACAGCAAAAGAAGTAGAAGGCAAGAAATAATTAAAATCAGAGCTGAAATTAATGAAATCGAAACAAAAGAAACAATTGAAAAAATTGACAAAACTAAAAGTTGGTTCTTTGAAAAAATAAACAAAATCGACAGACCCTTAGCTAGGCTAGCGAAGAGAAGAAGAGAGAGAACTCAAATTACTAACATACGGGATGAAAGAGGCAATATCACAACAGACACTTCAGAAATACAGAAGATAATCAAAAATTATTTTGAATCCTTATACTCCAATAAATTAGAAGATAGTGAAGGCATAGATAAATTTCTTAAGTCATATGATCTGCCCAGATTGAGTCAGGAGGATATAGACAACCTAAACAGACCAATATCAATTGAGGAAATAGAAGAAACCATCAAAAGACTACCAACTAAGAAAAGCCCAGGACCAGATGGGTATACAGCAGAGTTTTACAAAACCTTTAAAGAGGAACTAATACCAATACTTTTCAAGCTACTTCGGGAAATAGAAAAAGAGGGAGAACTTCCAAATTCATTCTACGAGGCCAACATCACCCTGATACCTAAACCAGACAAAGACACTTCAAAGAAAGAAAACTACAGACCAATATCTCTAATGAACCTAGATGCAAAAATCCTCAATAAAATTCTGGCCACTCGGATACAAAAACTTATCAAAAAAATTGTGCACCATGATCAAGTAGGATTCATCCCTG